AGCTGTCAATATTGACAATTAACTAATTAGGACATATTCCGGAGTGGGGAAGGGGCCTCACCACTCTCCACCTAGACCCAGCCGTTCCTTCTCACACTTTCTACTTCGACAAGTGTGGAGCGGGGCAAGCAGCCGAAGCCAATCTCTTAGAAGAGGAAAGCGCGTGAGAAAATCGGCACTTATATACAATGAATGAAAGGGAGCAATAAAATGGAGAACACGACAGTGGAAAAAGGAAGGAGAAGCTTCTCGCAGTGCCATAGGTGGCCCCCTTGCGGCCCCCGATTGACCACCTTGTCACAGGAATCTCCATGAGAAAAGGAAACGGCACGAGTTCTGGCATAAGATTTGGCAAAGCGTGAACACCATCGACAGACAAACTGAAACAGCTGAGTGTGGTGCCTATTGGCCATGGAATTGGTTAACCAGCCACCTTCCAACGCACGCTCTTAGGCGGAAAATAATATTTGAATGCACAGACACAAATGAAAACCCTTCGATTTCCCTCCAACTCCCAACGTGTTTCAGAACTTGTTGTGAAATTGCTGCTCCTATCTTCATGCCGCATTGCCCATGCCGCCTGCAACATAGATGCTTTTCGATATGCTTGAATGCCCATAACTCTCCTTCTTTGAAGACCCATGGCACTCGGATGGACAGCCGTTATAGATGTTTAGCACGCGCCGAGGTTCCAACGAGATGCGTTACCTCATCTTGAGATAGCCCGGGTGACAAAGCATTGCCAGAAATAAACCCCAACTTTGGCTTTCTGCATTTTGGACGCCAAAAAGGCAGAAAGTCACGCACTTCAAGTGAACTAGTCGAATACAAAGGCATAGTCCCTCACAATCATCATCATCATCATCATCATCATTATCATCATTATCATCATTATTATTATCATCATCGTCATCCCTTCATATAACTGGAGAGCCACTCCTTGGGAGGCTTTTCGCTCCACACTCTCTGTGGTGTTAGCACATAACATGCCATCTATAAATGATATCCATACTCCCAACGACTTGAATGCTCGTGCTCACCTACTTGCAGAGTGCTTGCACCACACCATCGCATAGAATGTGCCAATAAAACGCCCTTATTACTATTCCAATCCTGGGTGGTCTGAGGAGCTTGCAACTCTCTGCATAAACGCCACTCACTTGCCTCACGTTGCTGAGACCACCAAATCCTCCCAAGATTGATGTGCATAAAATGACGCTATACGAGCTCTTTGCAAGGCCATCTAACAAGCCAAACAAAAAGTTGGCATGATTTTTGTGAAAACACTCGTCCTCGCAGCATGCACTTTTGAGAAGCTCGTTCGATGTCACCTTCCCTATTCTCCTATGAACCTCATTTCAAATGGAGTCCATATCATGGATGATCTTGGGAAGGCCCGTCTTTTTGCCTCTCAATTTTTCCCACATGACCTTGGCACGGAATCCGATGAACATTGCACCATCCAGCACGATATTTCTAATCATCTCTCCTCCCCTCCCTTGATTGATAAACCCCCTCCCCCAATCACCCAACACGAGTTCTACACTACATTGTGTATGCCAGGGCCTTGGAAGGCACCCGGACATGGCCGTGTGCCATTCACTGCTCTCCAGCACTATGAAGACATTCTCGCCCCTTACCTACTCCCCATCTTCAATGTGTCTCTCCGACTTGCTTACTTGCCCAAGGATTGGAAAATTGTCCTTGTGGTTCCAATTTTTAAACCTAAAGGAGACCCCTCCTTTGTGAAAGGGTACCGCTCCATCTCTCTCCTTCTCTACCTTGCCAAACGTTAGAATCGATTTCGATGACTCGCTTGCCTTTCACTCTTGAGACCACTGGTCTCTTGTCCCCAAAACAATATGGCTTCCGCTGCACCAAAAGCACTAAAGATACCCTCTGGTCATTTGTTTTTACTGTGGCCTTTACCTTACTATCTTGTCAGCGCTTAATTGCACTCTCCCTAGACTTTAAGAGTGCATATGGCCACATTTGGCACCATGGTCCGCTCTCAAAATTGATGCAACTCCACGTGCCACACTACATGGTGCGATGGGTTGCTTTTTTCTTTACAGACTGCCTCACTCATCTGAAAGTCGGCTCGGTAACTTTGACCAAGTGACTAACTGCTGGTCTTCCTTAGGGTTCCCCCTTATCACCACTCCTCTTTACCATATATGTCAATGACCTACTTATAGGTCTAAATGACATTACGGGGAAAGACTCTCAGACGACTGTTGATGACATTCTTTCCTATTGGAAGACCACAATTTGGGGACCTTTGGAATAGGACGCCATCCCTTGTTTGGAGACCTTCCTGCAATAGTGGTCACACAAATGGCAATTGTCCTTCAGTGTAGTTAGGTGCAAACTCTTGGCTATTGGTAGGAAGCAACTCCCTCTTCCATCCTTTCACATTGGAGAGACAGAACTTGGTTATGTACCATCCCTCAAATACCTTGGAGTTTGGTTTGAATCAACGCTCTCTTGCCAGGAACATATTCACCGCACATTTGATAAGGCCCTTGCCCGATTGAGAGTCCTCTGTTGGGGCATGAAGACTACATGGGGATTTCATCTAATAATTGCCCGTCGGATGATTAATGCTATCATTCTCCCTATTTTGTTCTATGCCGCCCCCATCTGGTGCACATCCCTCCGATCCACCACACCCTGGCCCCCATTAACCGGGTACTTTGTCAATATGCATTGGCTACCATGGGACTGCACCGCACCGCATCTACGGATGCGGCTCTATTCATTGCAGGCATTATATCTGCTGATATTTATATCTGACAAAAGCTCCTAGACTTCTACCTTATGGAACTTTCTTACTCGCACAATTTGCAATAACTCAACCCCCACCCCCCCACCCCCCTACCCCTCCCTTGCTCTGAACAACACTCCAACCCCAATTGATATCCTAAAGTTGGAGCTCTGTTATATCATGCGCAAGTCCCATGTTACTCCCGAAAGCCTTTGCAAGGTGGGAGACCTCTTGACGGTGGCACGAAGACCTAGTTGAACCTGAGTGGCTTCCCAAGCCTCACTTTCTTGATTGAGACATGGCGGTCACCTTTGTGAAGGAACAACGACTCACATCCGATCCGCAAGATCTTTGGATCTTTATAGATAGCTCACTCATTTAGGAATATTGCGAATCGGCTGCTCTCATATATCGAGGACCCTCTATCACACCCCGAATATATGGCATACACTTTAGTGGCTTCCATTCAAGCACATAAACAGAACTCCATGCCATTGAATTGGGATGTGAGAATGTTTCCATTGGAACAACATGCAAGTGTGCCATGATCATCTTTGATTTGCAGGGTGCCCTTCTTGCTACTCAAAAATGTTAGGGAGGTTCTGCACTCTCTGTGCATGCCCACGAGGCACTTCGATGCTTGTCAACTCATGCAACAGCAATTCGCCTTTTACGGGTATAGGGACATGCAGATTTACCAAAAAACGAGCGGGCAGACTTGATAGCCAAGGCGGCAGCACTGGGCTCCTCCCCCTCAGCCCACGGTTCCAAGACTACCCTCATATCCCACTCTTATCTGCTAGTCACTGGTGTCCCGCATTCCCGAACCTTCCTAAAACGTTCTCCATCACCACTATGCTTGTCATTTTGAAACCCAATACACCAACACTCGCCACTACCATGATGAGCTCCAACTGCCACCACACTTCTCTCCATCCTTAAAGTAGACTCAAATATTGACAAGGAAGGAGACCGCCCAGGTGGCTCAATTTCTAGCTGGGCACTTTCTTGTGAATACCTACCTCTTTTGCTTTCACGTTTGAGATGATCTCAGTTGTTCCTTTTGTGAGAGTGACTATTGTGATCATTCTCACATCCTTTTCTCCTGCCCTAAATTTGAGCACTTGCGGCATATTGGATCGCTCCTCCGGATGCGGTTTGTGGTCGTGGGACTTTTTGTCCTCACCACCTGGTCATCCCTATCTCGCACTTCCTGATTCGTTCTCATCATGCTTTGATGGCCACCCACTGACGATTTTCTGTCGAAATCGCCGAGGGACAATTTGGGTGCTCATTTCATGACTCCAAAGTGGGCTCATTGGGGATTCTCTAGCATCACTTCCCATGGGTGCCAATCGACACGGGATTCAATGCTCAATGAAGCTAGTTACGACACTACATTCTGGGCTCATTTGACTGATATGCTGGATACTACCGGGCTTAACGTTTCTCTACAAGGAATCTAGAACATCTGGACTTGTGGAATATTGGGACATAGGAGCTTTTGGGAACTTTGGGACTCCCGGTTTTGGGAGTAATGGGACATTTGATACATTCCTGCTTACGCTACATTCTGACACTACACACTATATTCTGATGACTCTATTGCTCCCAGTCAGCAGCCACCTCTGCACAGGAATCTCTCTCTACATGGACGTCTCTTTACCTTGCTTCTGACCTACATCGCCGAAAGGTGACACAGGCTGTTGACATCATGCTTATGCTGCTAGGAGCGGAGTTGGGTTTAGTGAACGCTATGTAATTAAGGAATTTATCATCATGATCATCATCATCATCACCATCATCATCATCATTATTTTTTGCACAAGGCAATGCATCCATCCATCACGCACTGTGCTGGATGTCCGGCGTACATCTCCAACGTCATCAAGCTCTCGGGACCCCCTCCTCCCGTACGATGAAGGCCCCTGCCCGGCCCTTTCCGCTCTTCTTCCGCCCCACCCACCGTCACTGCCCTTCGCCCCCCCCACAAACCCCAACGGGCCACCTCCCACCTGCCACCTTCGCCCCCTCCCCCCGCCCTTTCCTATAGGGGAGAAAGCCCATCCCGGCTCCGATCCAAGTCGTGGACTCCTCCGCAGAGGGGGCGAGTCCCAAGCGGTCTGCCGCCGATCGGCAGCGTCGATCAGTTTTCTGTTCAGATTCCGAGGCGTTCAGCTCCCGCTTCGGCTGCCTCCTGGCCGAGGCTGACCTCAAGCCTTCCTGAAAAGGGATGGACTGGAGGCTGGCAACGTGGGCGTGGGCGCTTCTGGCGGCCGCGATGGTGGCTGGAGTTCTAGGGGACCCCTTGGACGATCGGATAATCGCGAGCGAGGGCATCGTGCGCACGCTGGCGGACGCCGCCACGGCGCTGTACGCCGACCGCCAGGCCGTGGTGCCGGACTGCGAGTGCTCCGTGCATGCCTGCAGCAACCAGTTCAGGGCCAGCCTGACCTGCACGTCGGTGCTGGGCCTGAACGCCGCATGCGAGGAGTCGTGCAGCGTGGAAGGGAAGCTGGTGAGGCGGCCGGGGGGCTGCTGGGTCGCGATCGGCATTCGGATCGAACGGCGCGTCCTGGGTGTCGCGGGGTTGCCCTGGGAAGGTGGGGCGATTTTCGAGGGAGCAAACTTCCTTGCGGGGTGTCCGGTGGCAGGCAGAGGGGATACTTGGAGATGGGATAGGGGATGGCTGACCCAGAGGGAACCGGCCCGTGGAGGCCGCACGTTTACTGCCGCTCTGGGGATCTCTCCTCTCTGCTGGGCCGCCTGTCGGCCGGAGATGCCTGGCAGAGGGGATGAGCCCGCCCCCGCCGCGGGAAAGTTCGCGATCGTATGCCTCGAATTCCCGACAAATAATCTCCGTAATGTCCGGTGCGTACCGGCCCAGGCGACGTGGGCCTGGCGAGACGCCGCCACCGCCGGCGGCGCGGCGCGGAGGGCTCGCGTTTGGGCCCCCGGCGCCGGGGAGCGGCGCCCACTTCCGTTGCTCCCGCGCCCCGGGGGCGTGTCCTGCAGTGGAGTGACTTTCCCTTGGGTCTCTGGCGGTGGTGCCCGCTCTGCCTGGATGTCTGTCAGCCCTGCGACACATTCGATGCTAAGTTCTCTTCAGCAATGCGGGACTCGGTGGCTGCGGTACACGGGTTGTGGCCTGTACGGCGCTGTGGCGGTCGGTGTCGCCAGTGGGAAACGTTTTGGCGATTGTGATGCCATTTTGGCACAAAGCGGCGCCATCACAGCGATGACGACGGCATAACGGGAGCTGCGATGGCAGCAAGTAGTGTCAAATGGCATCGTGGTTTGCGTCGCCAAATGACGTTTCTACCAGTGTGTGGGATATGGGGTCGACCCCGAAAAAGGACACCAGCATGGTGCTGGCTTGGTAATCACTTGATTGGCCTTGAGGCAAACGCTGCCCATTCAATCAGGCAATTCAGAACTTGTGTCTTACAAAGTGCGTTTTGCCCAAGACGAGGGCGACAAGGGGCACAATTTCGGAAATTCAACTTGGACTGCGTTGGCCACTTGCCACAGTATTTGACGCCGTGTATAGGGATGGACAGCGCTCGGCCAAACGCATTGTATTCCTGGGAGCTGCTTCCATTCCACATGCTCAAGCTATCTGCCAGCACAGGTCCTGAGAGGTATGCAGACGATACCGCATTTCAATGCAAACAGAATGCCAAGTTTTTTTCCCACAGTAAACATCGATCGACTAATCGGATGCTATCTTCGCTGGAAGGTTGATCCTTGGGTGTTTTCTTTCAGCTCGACATGGAGCGCTCTTTGATTCGCACGCCGCCTGGCACGGATCCAGACGACCTTAGTTCGGAGCTCATCGAGTCTATCTGCACATTCCACTCGTTAGATTCCACGTTTGTGGAAAAGGGCCCTGAAGGGAAGTTCACGTGGTCATACATTGGCACGGCGACTGGGATCATGAGGTGATGCACTGCGCACATATCTCCGGCATAAACGTTGGCTAGTATACTTGACTCGTTCTTTATTGTGCCGTATACAGTTGCTGAAAGCTGTGCATGCTCGGTGTCAGCCACGTCAAGAAGACAGTCAGTGCGATATTCCTGTGAACTACGTGGTTTGCTGTAGACAATGACTGGACATAGCTTCGCGGTATATGTATCCTTTTAATCTTGCGCTGGATTGATGCAAGCCGTGGTTTAATAACGCAAATCGGGCTGGAAATTTCAACTACTTTTTTGTGGTGCGCTTCCGTTGGTGCGCCAGCAACAGCAGGTTGGTGCGGTGCTCTTTTGATGCAGAATATGGCCCGGACAACCACGGACACGCGGTCTTGAGGAGGGAAGCTTCGATGAAACGCTTGGGAATTGCAGGACGTACGACCCGGTAAGTCGCACTACTCAGTGCACTCAGTGCGAGACTTGTTTTGTTTCGAAGAGACACATACCCAGCGCTTGGGGAAAGGGACCTGCCAAAACGAATGATTTGAGTTAATGCCAATCAGATCAAGTGTGATTCAGTGCACGCATGCACCTGGAATTTGAGTTCTTGGAATCTTGTGTCGATTCGATCGTATGCAAGCTCTGTCATGAGGTGCACAGCACGTTCGCACATCCTGCGTGCTCTAATTGTCGATTCATTGTGATTGATTGCAGCGCATACGTCCGTGGTTCATCGCCGCGAGCAGTGGCCCCAAAGATGTCGTTATCGTCGTGGACACATCAGGTATGATTGCCGTCAGCGTTAACTGTGTCAATGATGTGGTTCTCGAGATCTGTCGAGACGGTTCAATACGAGGCACTGCACTTGAGGGAGCCGTGGCCAGTTCACGCTGCACCTCCCAGAGGGGACTGAATTACCCTTGGGCGAGGTGCGCATTTTGGATATTAGCTACGCGCTGGTGGTCTGGCTCGATTCCCAAAATGTTTCATTGAAAGATTCGGATATCGCAGCAGAATTGGTGTTCTCAACATGGACTGGATAGAATTGTAGCATCTGCGTCGAACTGGGTGGAAACCTCCCGCTGCGAAGCGGGAAGAAGCGGCTCACAAGCGAAGCACTTGCGAGGGTGTGTGCGGGGTTAACCCCCCAACACCAACGTTGGTGTGCGTGCACCAGCTGGGTATCGGCCGCTCGCCGGTGTGGAGCGTTGCGGCACTGGGGCTAAGGCCACAGCCCATGAGGCGCGCAAACCAAGGCTGCCCGGAGTGGTCAGCCCGAGGTGGAATCCAAACCGCTTTGGACCTGTCGATGAAGATGCAAAGCTGTGGCCATCACCAGGGACATGTTGACGTGCCATCTAGTGATGTTGAACGACAAATCCTAAACGCGGTAGTTATACAAATCCACCTCCCGTCGGCCAAGGAACCCCGATTTGATGTCGGACTGGCGATTGAGCTCGCTTTGCGACGCTGCAATGAGAATAGGAAGAATTTGCAACAATCAGAACCCCTGCCACCGTCAGCCCTGCCGCCAAATAGGGAGAAACGCACTTTTCTTTTGGAGCATTGGAGATTGCGGGCAAGTCTTCCCTCCTCTTTCTCTTCTCCTTCCGGCAGACGATTCGTCGAAACAGATCTTCGGGTCGGCGACGCGCAGGCAGCATGATGCTGAACCTAGGCAGGGAGGGCAAGACGCGCTGGGAGGTCACGGAAGACGCCGTGTCGCGGCTGCTGGGCACCTTCGGCATCGCCGACTTTGTGGGGGTCGTCACCTTCAACTCGGATGCCGCCGCGCTGGGCAACGCCACCACGCTGCAGCGGTCGGACTCCGAGACCATCGGCGTGTTCAGGGAGGAGCTCGGGGCCGTTGAGCCCACTGGCGGCACCGACTTCAGGACGGGGCTGGACGTGGCGTTCGACATGCTCATCGAGTCGGCCAAAATTGGCGCCCTGTCGGACATCGCGCCCACGTCTTTCTGCAACAAGGTGACCCTCAGTGGAGCGGCTTGATGTGGATGCGTCCCCGGGCAAAAGCACGATGCTGCAAAGATAGCGAATTTGCTGTCTTCTGCTATCTGGCTGTCTTCGCATTTCAATTTGGATTTCCGCCATGTACTCGTGATTTGGTTGTTGTTGAATCCACGGCAAAAATTCCGCAACCCCCTCGATGGGAGCAGAAGCGGTGCCCTGACAGGCTCCAAGATGTGCTGACGGTATCTGTTGTTGGTAATTTACTCCTCGCGCATTGAGTTCTCAGCGAATTTGTCCATTTTATTCTGATTGACTCACAACCAGCGCAGCGCCGCTCAATTTCCACTGGAATTCTGTGAAATGGCGTAGATCATTCTGTTTCTCACCGACGGGGAAGACTGCACGCTCAACAGCCGACAGCCGTGCAAGTCCGACATCGCGCGTGGCAGCCAGCAGAGCGGCAGCGGACCAGACGTGGTCCTCAATAGGATAGAGGAAAGGCAGGCAGAGCTCGTGGCCCAGGGCAGCGCTAGGGCCAACATTTTCACATTCTCCATGACGACAGATGCTGACGACAGGCTCCCGAAGATGATTTCTTGCGAGAATGATGGCTCGTGGGAGGCCATTGGGGGTGAGGCTGGGGAAGGGAAGTGCGGGACTGGAGCGGCGCATCTCTGTCGCACTCGTGCTGCCATGCGCTGAGCTGCGGTTAGCGCTTGGGCAGGAGGGAATCGCAATGTTGCTGTGGTCGTCCATGCGCTTTTGCATTGTCCTTTTTCGTGAATGGTGTGCTGGAGCGTCTATCTTGCCGTGCTCAATAGGGCTTGACCTGATTTTGTGGTATCCTCGTTGATCTTCACAACGTCGGGCCTTCAGCTTTGGCGCATCAGAATCGCAGCATACGTGACTAAATTCCAGACGTCAGGAAAAGCGGAAAGGCTCATTGGCTGGCTCTGACCTCCGTATGTGCGATGCCCAACGTCGATTTGTACGTTACGCATCCAGCAGTTTATGGAGAGCCAAATCAAAGCGCTTTGTCGAGCCAGTCACTGGGATCTGGGATTCTGTGGAGAACTGGTTTCCCCTCTCCCTATGACTTGTGATTTTCAACCGTCCGTTCGTTTGCAGAGGGAGACGACCCACTCTCCAAGTTCCTGGACTACACCAGGTTCCTGGCGTGGGGTCGGCGCGGCCTGGACGTCATCTGGAGCAACTTTTACGTCGACGACGGCGGCCTGGGGGACATGACCACGGCCGCCATGCCGGTGTACTCCCCGAACACCGCAGAGGGCGTTCCCGGGCTGCTTGTTGCCGTTGTGGGGAAGGACGTGCTTGTCTCGCAGCTGGAACAGGACGACGAAAACTTCCAGGACGTTTTCGACAGGATCATCAAGAGGACGTCGACTTGCCGCGTCAGCGAGCTGAAGCCGTGCCAGCTTCAGGTCCGGCACGCAGCCATTGTTGGTCGGGACAGATGTTATCATGTAATATGTTATGATGTGCATATGATGTCGTCGCAGCGTCATATGTTATGTAATGATGCTGTGACTTTGTTCACAGTGGAGATGGTACATGGAAGAGCAGTCGAGAAGCTGAAATGGCTGCCCGCTACACGAGTAAAGAATCGGTCAAAACGCGCGGCTTAGAACAGTATAAGGATGCTCGACACTCACTTAATTGTTACGACACGATTTGGTGCCCTATTTATACGACAAGTACACGATTTGCCACGATTTTTACACGATTTCCAATCGCGTTGCACGGTAAACGATTTTCAATCGCGTTAAACGTCACATGATTTTCAAGACCGTGTATTTGGCCTGTTTTGTACTGGTGATGTATGCCCGACATCGACGGAGTGTAAAGGGATTGGTGCCAGGTGACTTTGACAGACTGCGCTGAGAAGAATAGCGATCGCCATTGTGCCTTGTGTCTTGCGAGGCGAACGCGGTTTCATCAACACTTCTTGTGGAGTATTGCTCGTTCACATCCGCTCATTCGTTGCACCAAAGGTGCTGCGCGGCGAGGCCGCTGAGTGCCCCGAGAGGTTCGACGAAAAGACCTGCTACTTCCTGGCAGATCAGAAGAAGTTCTACATAAACGAGACGACGTCGAAGCTCAATTTCGAGGAGGCGCAAGAGAAGTGCATCGAGCTGGGAGGCCACCTCGCGGAGATCCACCATGAGGCGGAGCACCGGTTTCTGTCGGGATTGACCACACGCGACGGTTCATGGATAGGGCTCCGCCTAGATACGTCGACATTCACTTACGTGTGGAGGTGAGACAGCTGTCCATTCGTGCGCTCCAGTAGATCCATGCGCAGCAAAGTTTGGATGCTTCCAAAATCCCGAAATGGCGAAGAAAGTGCCAAAAAATGAAATGTTCAAAATGAACAGGAAAAGACCGCCTAGCAAAGCTACTGTCACGCGTGTTTGTGCCAGCCTCGTGAATGAGTTATAGACCCGATCTGGGGGAAATTGGTGTAAGCTTGGGTCCTTTACAGTACTTCGGAGGTATTTGCATGTACTAATTTGCCCTGAAAGGGTGTTTATAGCCGACAAGCGATTTTTGGGCAATTCCTCACAGCACGAAAACTGAAGGCAGTAATGTGCAATTGCCAACGCCTCGGAGGCGCAGATTCAACGCTCAGGAGTTGCCTGTGCCGAATGAGGTGCAGGCGGCGTCAGTCTGCTGCTGTATATAGCGGTCAGGAAGTGCCATTGGAAAGCGTTTGCATGGGTTACCTTTTCCCGTCAGCGTTATAACTCCATGCACTAGGAAAAAAAAGGACCAAATAACACGTTCTGTGAACACATATGTATGCAGTTCGCCAGTGTTGTGCACGCTAAAAACACGAGAATAACACAAAACCGTAAACTTTGTACACGTTTGAACATGTGTTATTTGGCCCTTATTTCGCTTGTGATAATTACTCAGTAAGTCTGCAAAGGTTTTACAACCCAAATCTCAAACCCTAAAAGAGATCATTTTCATTACCCTGAGGTGCGCTTGGGCATGGCCGGTGCTTATCGTGTTTTGTTTTCTCATGGAAATGAGTCATCCCCACACCGGAATGGATCAACTGCAAGTGATGCTGAAGCAGCGAACGAATCCCGGCGCTTGACTCAACTGATATATCATTGGCAATACATGTTTCGTCTAGAAAGTATTTGTGCACACATATCATTGAGAACACAATTCCGTGCACCACAGGTGGCTGCAGTCCGGCAGCGAAGTGAAGGCTCCCTTCAAGGCCTTCGGCAACGAGGAGGTCAACATAACTGACGACAGCGTGAAGGCCGAGAGGCTGTGGGCGGCTCGCGTGAAAGAGGAACAGGACTGCGGGGCCATCGACAGGCGCGGGCTGGACCGCAACGTTGTGGACGTGGACTGCGACCGCGAGATGGCGTACATCTGCGAATTCGAGGAGGAAAATGCTCCTCCGGAGTGTTTGGTGAGAGTTCTCTGAAGGACGCTCGGAGTAGACAGTGGCAATTTTGCCGCGTTTCACTGGCAGACTACACCAGTAGAAAACAGCCTGTTTGTGATGCCAAGTGCGATGCCATTTTGACACAAATTGATGCCATC